AGTTTTGATTCAATTTGTCCTCTGATCAATATCATCTGATGTACATATACAGGTACTTGTGTTTTCATCTCTATTTATATCGTGATACGTATCGTATCGTGAGGTTCTTGCCAATACTCACCCCTAATAGCCAGTGTAGAAAACTACTTTAGTACGTCAATTGTGAGAGATGTTTTGCAATGGTAGCTGAGTGTGGGAAATTTGGCAAGACATGGAATCCAAATTATGTTTTATTGAAGTCCCTTGTAAAGCTGTGTCTTTATAATGCAAGGAGCACTTTGATGTCCTCATTTATGCTGATCAAAGACTTCATTCCTTCCAGTAAGGCAACTAATTAAATTTGTGTCTAACTCATGGCAGCATGATCAATTTCTCAAGTTCTATCTCATGTTGTTTTGCTGAGGATGAATACTGTTAGCAGCGCTAGCGCCAGCAGCCTGATGTCCTTGCAGGGTAACGGCCACATGTCCACTGTGCTGAATGTGGTTACGCATTGCTCTGGTTGAGTGGTTATACTAGTTAAATGTTTACACAACCTTATTGAAACCTACCCTAACCCTATGAAATATAAATAATAGTTTGAACGACCAGTATTTCTCTAACCAACTAAGGTAGCAAGTTTGCATTGTTTAACTGACTAGTTGACTAAACACACACATCCCTAGTATTATGCTGCATTAGTTTTAGCAGAGCTTAGTTTAGCTTTACGTAATAAACTGGCAACTTGAGTGCATGTTTTTAATGTCTAAAATGTTTTGCCCAATTTGCCAAATGTTTGTCTCACGTTTTGGGGTCAATACCTTGTTACAACAAATTAGTGTTGAATCAAAGTATGTAATAATAAAATTGCAATGTCCATATAAATGTCTCCATAGAAAGTTTCTTTAAATGATTATCTGAACTGTTTTGTGTCTCCTACAGGGCAAGGTGTCCTCCAGAGAGTGTGCCATCATGTGAAGCCTTCCTGTTTTGTTGACTGCTTTGACTTCCCCATTATATATATTTTTTTTCTCTAGAACCACCCAGATATGATCCTGTCCATTGCCTCATCTTGGTGTTTTTATTGTTCAAGACAATATAAGAATTTTTGGACTAACGGACTGTTTTTACTGCCCTCCACATTTCTGGACCTGCTTTAATATGAATCCTTTCCCTAACAAATTATAGCCAATGTCTGTGGCTCAGGCAAATATGATGGATCCAAATATTCAGTCAAACTGTGGAGTTGCAGCTGAATATTCCCACCTGTACTAATAGTACTTGTACTTACATGTCAGTGATTCATTCCACCGGCTGTCATTCATTCTTCTGTGGTAAACATTTTGGTTTTATCCCTCATCTACTGAAATCAACTAAAAGAACCTGTTATTTGAGTTCTTAATGTAAAGGACTTGCGCTAGACATTATTAATAACTTGAGTGTTGAACAAATGATGAGCAACTCTTAATTGAATTCCCCCTCCAAAATCAAGACTTTTCTGGCTAATAGGTCCTTATTTTCCTCTGTATTTTCTATGTAGGTCTTTCTTTTAAATATTTGCATAGGAATGCAGTTGAAATTACAGATAGATCAAAAAGCCTGTCAAAATTATGCAGTCTTTCTTTATTATGAATTCTCCAAATTCCCCAATCAAAACTTAGCTTGTAAATCCACTGCTAGTTTGCAAGTCGCAAGTTTTGAACTGAAGGTCAGACCACCACAGATGAACTCCAAACTTTTGGGACATACTTGGTCGTTACATGACCAGCTGGCTCGCCATCCCTGTAATTTGTCTGTCCTCAATTCCTTTTCTTTTTTGTTTAAAGATAAAGACATGTGATTGTTCATCTGATTTTAGTCTAACTTGGCAGAGCTGAATTAAAGAAAGACATTGCTGGAAAGGTCTCCCAGTTTTGCATTAAAGCTGTGTTTCACAGTTAGTTGTTGCTATTACCTGTAGGGGCTCCTTCCAGCACAGCCAACTCTTAAACAGAAACAGTACTGGTTCATTTTGACTGACAACCTTTGACTTCTGATAGTAGTCACATGGAAGTGGATAAAGTAGAGAATTGGTTATCTGTCCTGCCTTTTGTGGTCTGTAGTGCAAAAAAAATTTGCTATTCAGTGACTCCTCTAAGTAGCCCAACAAAAATTTTCAGGTCTTTTCAGAGTTTTTTTCAAATTACTGAAAACCGCTTGTGTGTCCCGTCCCCCCAGCCCTCTCTCTCTCTCTCGCTCTCTCTCTCTCGCTCTTCTCTCTCCTCTCTCTCTCTCTCTCTCTCTCTCTGCTCTCTCTCTTCCTTCCTCCTCTCTCCTCTCTCTCTCTCTCAGCATTTCTACTTCACCCTTTGTGTGTCTGTCTGTCTGTCCTGTCCAGTCTGTCTGTGCATTGCATTGCATTGCATATAGCTCCACCAAAACACTAGTTGGAGGGGTTTCTGTGCCACTGTTGAAATTAAAACCTGCCCTTAACCCCCCATCCCGGAGCCAAATTGGGCATGTAGGTTTGTGGTTTTGATATCCAGCTGGGCCTATGAAATTATATGCTTACAAGATAAGCCTTGGGACAGGCTTTATTAATCTGAAATATTAAACTGACATAACTTTGCCTCCATTTTTGAGTACACACAAGGTAAACCGAGAAAGTAACATTTGAGTACATAATGCAATATAGGAGGTGATTTTTTTTTGATGGATTGCATCATGCATATTCTCTTACATTATTTTGGAAGTACAAGTTTTGCTCACAACTTGTTTGACATCTGGAAACTAATTTTTTTATTGTGTTTGTATGCTGTTACATTGCTAGTTATTTTTCTATATAGTTATTGTTTATGTAATCGATTTTATATGTTTACATACTATTTTTTGTTTAGGATTTCTTGAGGTGATTAAGGTTTGGTGTGCATGACCTAACGGGGGTAAAACAAACAAACAAAAAAAATCAGGACTAATAAAACAATACTGAACAATACTCCTATAGTGTTTTGCTGAGAGCTTTAAGTCGTCTCAGTTTTTTATTGGCAGAAGAAACTTCTTGTCTAGTGGTATTCTAATTTGAATATTTCAATTAGATGAAGTCTTGCAGTGTTAGACTACCTGTGACTACTAAGTTAATATTTGATTTGATTTTGATTTGCTCTATAACAGTGGTTCCCAAACCCGCAGCCCCAAGAAAAAAGTGGTCGTCTGTATTAATTACAAAAGATTTTATAAGAATAACACTTTCTGTTAATGTTTCACACTCTTTTTTTCACTGTTGAAATCGTGCCAACTACATATAGACAGTATAGAATAACTAGATCTTATAAAATACAGGTCTGCATCCTGATGTGTATGAATTTGGGCGTCCTTAACACCAAAAATGTTTAGAACCACTGCTCTCTAGAACACAGGAATTGCAAGGCTTTTCTATATGATGGTAATTTAGTCCCTCCAGGACTTGCAGGTGTGTTTTTTTTAATGTATTACACATTTCTAACTTTTACACAATTGCATTTAAAATTTAACATAATTCACAATTTTTAAATTAAATTTAATATAGAACTTTTTTCAGTCAAATAAGCTTCAAACTCAGCAACTTCCTTGGAAGTACATGGAAGAGTTATTTGACTTCTGAACCTTTTGTTGCATATTAATATGCATGACAATCAGGTATTTTTTTGTTTGGTTTTTGTTTCTTTTGCAGCTTTTAATTTTTAAACTTAACTATAATCACAGTAGAGTTTTTTAAAATGTAACACGCTTAGGACAGGCTTTCTGACGAGCCACTGGAAATTCTGTCATTTTTGGCTGTGGAAATGAAAAAGACCTGGAGGGCCTGTTACTTGGTTAAGACTAGTTCTGCTACAATGTAGATGTGACTGTGATAGTTCTATTGAGAGAACACCCAAGTTTTAATCACTAAAATGGAGACCTGTTATTCATGTGGGGGTGGGGGGCCATGTCAAATGTCAGTTTTCATTTATGGTTAACTGTTGAACATTTTGTACACTCAATAAATGTTTTACATATACACATTTGATATCACTGTTGGTTATTTAATCTTAATATTATTATTCATCTCAAGGATGTAATTTACAGGGTTGCTACAGGTCTCTTCAAAGTACTTGAAGCTGCTTGGACTAAATAACTAAAAATCTAAATCTTTTAAGTGCTTGGATTTAGCCTATTGTCACCTCAAAATTCACCCATGTGCTGGGTTCTGTTATTTCTGTGTCAAGTACAGCTACCAAGTTTTAAATACCAATTCCTTGAAGAAATTACCAGTAACCGGCGGGGGGCAATCTCTGGTGAAGGGAACTCAGAAAAAAACGAAATTCTTCTACTTGGCCCCAA